GGAGTGCAAACAATATTCATCAACTCGTTGACAGTTGGAAAGCCTATGTTAAAAGTGGATGATTTTTCAAATCCTATTCCTAAAAAAAATGCAGCAAGCTTCTTATATTAGGCAAGATAGCCCCCTCAATATCAAGAACCGTGATTAATATCTAATAAAGAGCCAATGAAGTGTATTAGATTTGTTTCAAAACCTATAATAAAGATATATTCACCTGAATATATCTCACAACAGTGCTGGTATAATCAACAGCTCGCCGCTGAACAAGCTTTCTCATTCTCTTAGCAGCAAAATTGTCTCCATGAGCTGCAATTCAAGTATCATATTAAATGACTGTACTGCATATAGAGTTCATAGCTAGCTACATTCTTACAAAAAGTAAAGTAATGCCCATATACGGACAGTTACTGATATATGAACAGCAGACTTCTCTGGAACAAAAAAAAAAAAATAGGCCAAACGGACACTTTAATCAAGAATTTAACAAAAAATAATCCATTCCAGAGTAGTGAAATACAAACAATCATTTAAATATTCAGAAGGGCGATGTGCCATCGGCGAGTAACCAACTAAATATTGTACAGTTCACATGATTTCAGTATAAAACAAAGCAAAACAAAGAACAGGATGTATAAAACAACAACTAAAGCGTCCTTTGATAAACCAAACCACACATACACAAAATGGTGAACGAAATACACCATTTGTAGTCCTGCGCGCAACAAATGGGAGAGCTAAAAGAAAAGACGAAAGAACTCCACTTTCCTGTTTCTAGGCACTTACCGTCGAATAGAGGCGGAGGGTGCACCTGTGGGTAGTCAGCCGGCATATTACTCGAGGAAGCGGAGGGCTGCCGCATGGGAGGTCCCTGCTGCTGCTCGCCATACGCCATTGCCATTTGCGAACCTTCCCAAAACCCTAACCCTAAATTCAAGAGAACGGCACGAAACAGCTGAATAACGACGAGAAGAGGCGGCGGACTCCTCGGGTAGGGAGTGGAACTCAACTCGTGTTCGGCGCTTGATATCCTCAGATTCTAATCTATCTAAGGTAAAATTAGATTTGCGAGTTTAGCTTGTTTAGGGGTGTGCATTTAATTTATTTGATTTATTAGGATTATAAAATTTTAAAAAAAAATAATTTTTTACATTTAAAAAATTTATTTGGACGGAACAAATCTAAATAATAATTTCGTTCAATTTTTTTTATTTGACTTTGATTAAATTAAAATTACTCGCAATGAATTAAGTATACTATATAATTTGAAAGCAATAAACATATTTGAAATTATATAAATGTGCGTTAAAAATATGCTAGTGCTGATTTGAAAGAGATCTACTTGTACTAAAGGTTTGTCAGACGATTGAAGTTCCGCCAAACGATCTAAGGTCTTTTTGATGATTGAAGGTCTATTAAACAAATGAAAGTATGAAGGGTCATCCAAGTCCGCCAGATATGAGCATCTATGTCAGCTACTAGATAATGGGCCAGTACCTTTGGCAATCTAGCAGGTATCAACCTAAGATTCTTTCAATAACTCCCCCAAAGATCTTCATAAATCACCAAGGAGCAAACAAGTTGGTCGGTCACCCTAAGGTCGACCAACTGTCATTCTCAAAACTAATAGACTTCCTAGAGCGATGATCAATTGATACCTAAGCAAATTAGTCGGTCGCCACGAGGACTTGTCGACAAAAATGTTCAGGTACACAAAAATATGTCAACGTAAATTACAAAGATGAAAAGACATAACAAAAGACAACAATGTCTTGTAACACTCTGTTAAAGCCGAGGCAGGCATGTAATTTTCACATTTGGCCAACTATCTCCTAAAAATAGAAGGGCACATAACATTATTATGGGGATTTTGGCTCCTGTCTCTTGACCCATACTCTGTAAAAAGATTTCTCTCTCGTTTTCTTTTGTAACCCCTGATTACAAAATATAAAATGGATCACAAAGCCTGAGAATACCCCAGCTCATTTCTACGAGGCAAGTTTATGTGTCTTCTTTTAATTATTTTATCTCTTTCTACATCTCCCACGAGGTTCTTATTGCTCTGATCCCTGAGCATGCCTCACACGACAAATCTAGATTCAACAATAACTAAATGATCAAACAAATTTTGATTTTTTTTAATAACATAAGCATATTTAAAAGCTATAAAATTTGAAAGCATTGTTAAAATAGTATAATTAGTACCTAAAATGTTGCAAGAAGTTAATTAAAATTATAAATTCTTAAACTCCATAGTATTTATCTAGCAAGAACATAGTTGAAATGCAGTCTTTTGCTGCAAATCAACTAAAAAATGAAAGACAAACAACAAAAACTCTCATTGTTTGGAATGTCACAAAAAATTTGTGGGAGTAAATGCAGTGAATACTAATTTGAATGTGAAAGATTGATTTATAAACTCTTATATCTAATATGAAATAGAAGAATAAAATAATGAGTATAAGCCACCTAAAACAAATTGTGCCTTGTAAATTATTGACCGTAAATGACAATTTTGCGAGCCATAATTCAAAAGCAAATGCAAATGCCCAAAATTGTGCCAACATGTGGATCCTCAAGTTAATACATTATAACAATTTTAAAACTAATGTTGCAGGTTGAGTTCAAATTCAACCAACAAGGACAGGCCAAGCGGCCTGAGCCAAGCAATGGGTAGGAGTACAAGGTACAAAAAGCCATAAATAAAAAATAGAAATGAGAAAGTTAATTAAATTTTATATTTATCTTATTATTATTTCTATTTTTTATTCAACCAAATATTTTTAATCACCAAATAATCTAATAATAAAAAAATCAAATATTTTTGATATTTTAAAGCAATATATAAACTTTTAATTTCAAAATCTAACCGAATCATAAAAAATATTCGATTTAGTTTGATTTTTTTTCGGTATAGTTGAATAATTGACAAACGTATATGTCAGCCTGATAACTATTAGTATGTTTATTGTTTAGACGAGCTTATTCATTTTTTTTTCTCTATAAAATATTACATGCATATCATTCAATTTCTATGAATTAATTATCTAACATCTAAACTTCAAATCTTTACATTTTTTGTCGCCTTATAAATGCATGGAATGTATGTTTCATACTTTGGAAGTTAAAATTGTGATATTTTTATGTGACATAAGATAATAGGGTGGTATAAATAAAAAAGGAATTTTTTTGTTGGATATATAAATGCATAAGAATTGGATAATAAGTATGTGAATGCCCCTTTTTTAGTTTTTAGATTATTGTTGTGCCTATTTTTTTGCTATTAATTTATTTTTATTTTAAAAAAAAAATCTTATAAAGATATGCTACATTTTACAACTAATTTTGTTAAATAATGATAGCCATAAGAAAACTTTTGTCCATTTGAAAAATATATAATTTTTATAATATTAATGATAGATCTAAACTAAAAAAAAAAAACTAACAAAACCTATGTAATCATCTTAAAAAAAAAATCACTAATTCCAACAAAATATGTTCTTAAGGATTCACTTGCATATATTAAGATTGCTTAATCAATAACCCTAAATAATAAAGATAATATATATAATCACATGTAATTCATTTTCAAACATATTTAAAATTTTAATTAAATTTATCATGTACATCATATTCATATATATATAAATATATATATATATA